GTTCATCCAGCTCTACACCTTGTTACCTACTTTAGCATAATGAGTGAAAATGTTTCCCGATCATTGTAGTTTTTGGTTTTTATTCTTTATTTAAAAAACTGGCCCCAGTATTTGGATCCTTCCTCTGTGGAGATAAATTGACTTTTGGACCTGGTTCTACTTGTTCCTCTTGGACTCACTCCACTTTGTCTGAGTTAAGTATGCACTGTATTTTGGAGCTTAGAAAACATTGCAGAAGTTGTTGAACCCTTGGGCTGAATTGCTCTTACCATTTCTTGATGTTAAGAAAAAAGCTGACTCTGTCAAAGTTGTGCATGCACAATTTGCATGTACAATCATGGAGTTTGCTAAGGATTAGTAACATATTGACTATGTTTACATGTTATAGGATCTAAGAAAATCTGTGCAAAAAATATGCAAGTTTCTTGGGAAAGAGTTGGATGATGAAAAACTTGACACTATTGTGAAACACTGTACTTTCGAAATTATGAAATTGAATCCGATGGCGAACTACCAAAATGTTGAAAGTAAAAATGAAAGTGGATCATTTCTTAGAAAAGGTAAGAATTTGAAAATAAAACAAAGACTTACACTTGCTGGATATCTGAAACAAAGGCAGATATTGCTGGAGGAACTCAGTAGGTCTGGCAGCATCTGTGGAGAGAAAGCAGAGTTAACGTTTCAGGTCCAGTGACCATTCTTCAGAAAAAGTCCAGTTTTCGCTGCAATACTGAAGGGGACGGAGACATTATCCTTTTAGCAAGAAGATTAAGGGTTGTAAGTGCCCTGAGGTTATTGAATTCATTGTATCAAGAAGTAGATCTTGTGTTTTGCATAAATCAAATAGATTGGGAGGTCTTTTTCACATGAATCTATCCAATTCATTTCTTGATCTGTATCTTTTCAAATATTCACTTGGATACTCACTGAATACATAACTCTAATGGTGAGCAATATTTGAGAACTGTTGAAGTTACGCTAACAAGTTTCTCAAGGGAACAACTTCAGCATGAGATTGTGCAGTTTGGACCCTAACTTCCAATGCACTGAATTCCTAACTCCATGCTTAGGAAATCTTGCTTTTCATTTTCGAGACGATGTAACATGCATGCAGTGTCCGTATTCACACCTAATAAAACCATAAAAATAGCAAGGTTCTCGAATGTAACCCAGTCCATATACTATTTTGTGTTTAAAAGGTTCTTTCGAGGTCCTTTGACCCAATGATTAATCCACACTATCCTTCTTTCTCTCTAATAAAAAACTGAAAGAACTGCATATGCTGTAAATCAGAAGCAAAGTTCTGAGGAAGGGTCACCCAACCCAAAATGTTAAATCTGATTTCTCTCCACAGATCATGACAGACCTGCTGAGCTTTTCCAGCAATTTCTGTTTTTGTTCCTTTTCTCTTTCTGTTCATTCACTTTTTTCCTCCACAAAACAAAACTTGAAATTTCTCTTTGCAATGCAATTGGAGAACCTGCCTCTGTTGAGAAGAAAAATGGACTAACTTTGTAGCAGGAAACACCCTGCATCATTAAACATAAAGACATGCCTACTGTAGAACTTCTGAATCAGCTTGTGCTGACTGACTTTGGTTAAGTCTAATTTGGCTAAGTCTCTGGTCCCAGAGATAAGAAGCCACTCATAAAGCTCCTTCCTGCCAACACAACGCCCGTCCCCCCAACCTCACTTTATCCAGTCAACTAACCAGGCTAGGAACCAGCATCATTCTCATATTCTCTATGGTATCAGTTAGCTAGGAACATGTACCATATCTCGCCACTGTTATTCTTATGCTGTATGTATCGGAGGACTGCTGGTCAATATTTTGCCTTCCTTTATTTTATTGCCAAATTTGTGTGGGGCTGTCAAGGAGAAAAGCTGTTCACCTATGGCCAAATTTAGAAGCAGCTGAAGTCAGCACAATAAGGGAGTATGCCTTGGAGAATTCCTAGATCCACTTAACACTCAGATGATATCTGGTCGTGGCAACAGTGTGCATCATTGGCCATTAAAAAGCTGCAGTTCGTGGTGTCCACACTCCTTGGGGAGTGACTTTGAGTATATGCCTTTTGGGCGAACCTTTACGCAGGAGTGAAGTGAAGTATCTATGATTGACCCAAAACATAAACATTGCAGAGAAAGGCCTTGATTCTGAAGCCACAGTGATATTTACCTCCTCCATCCAAGGAAAAGTTTATCATGCAAATTGGACACAACAAAAACAGTGTAAAGTGCCAATGATTGTGTACAATGCTGAAATGGTATCTCCCAAAAAGCAAGTGAGTTTCCAATTTAGGTGTGCGTTTTTGTGCTGCAGACTCCAATGATTTCTACACCAACATTTCGCAGTACACAACCAAAATTCCCCTCTTCACAAATTTAGGTTTCTTTCTTATTTTTATGGAATTGTCTATGTTATTTATTTCATTCCAATTTCATTTCATAATCCCAAAAGTTGAATCATCTCTTTTCTTTCAGGGATAATCGGAGATTGGAAAAATCATTTCACTGTGGCCCAGTCAGAGATGTTTGACCAAATATTTGAAGAAAGACTGAAGGACTTCCCTTTGAAGTTTATCTGGGACAGCAAATAACTGGAACTCATTATATAGACTGGCCTGTGATGTGCATCTATTCATCTTTTTGACTTTATTAAATAAAAACCTACTACTTTTATAGATAAACAAACCGGTAGATTGATGTATACAGAAAGGAATATATATTTGAAAGAGATTAATTTAGAGGGCTACAGGGGTAGGGCTGGAGAATGGGACTAGTCGGGTAGCTCTTTTGGGAGCTGGTACAGGCACGATGGATTGAATGCCCTCCCTTGGTACTGTAAACTCCTACGATTCAATTATTTTATTTATCTAAACCTTAACCATAAACTTAATGTGTGAAATTTAATCATCCTTTTTCCAGTCATTGTTGCTCTGGTCTTGTATTCCACTTTCTTTCTGTCTCGCTCATCTTTCTAAACTTTCCTTCCCTTTGAAGGCCTTTCTTTCGTATAAATATTTCGGAAGTGCTCATTCTATGTTGAATTCGTCTACCTGACCTGTTTTGCTTCCCATCAGTCCCAATTCCTTCCCTTCTTGGTTTTATTTCTTGATGATCGGGTCCTAATGTGTTTTGGGAATTCAATTCCTATTTTTCCAATTACTTTCCTCACATCCCCATTCAAGGAAATGGTAGTAACAATAGGCTGAACTTTTACCATATTTTGTGGAAGTGTCACTTCCATTGAGTTTCATAAAGAGTTCCTCTCTGGTGAGGTCTAGCGGATTTTCTCACAATATTGTCACAAACTCTCCTCATTAACTACCTAACAATGATACCCCTATCATCCAATACCAACTGTATTCTACCACTTGCCACTTGCTGGATATTTTGGAATACACCAGCTTCCCGGCACCGTGCCATCTTTATATCGCCACAGCACAACAAGATAGGTGCTGGCATTTTGAGGCTGCTCTGAAGGCTGCACACACTTCCAGAGTTCATGGCTGATGAGAGAAATTGGCATTGCTATTTGCTGACGAGGTCCTCAATATCCTGCTCGATGAGGTGGTCCAGAGGAGTGACCACCAGAGGAGACCACAACGCCAGATTCTGTCTGGTCCAGACTGGACCAAGGTAACCAACAGAATCAGTCTGGTCTCAACCATCCAGCCAAATGCCCAGCAGTGTCACAAGAAAGTCAATGACCCTCTCCACTCTGCCAGGGTAATGCCACCAATTTCCCTCCATTACTTCACATACACTATCTTTGCTACTGCACCACCTCCCAACAGGGTTCATGTTACAACTTTTTCTCTTTTGCATGCAATATTTTCCCTCAATCACTCTCACTTACCCCAACCCCCACTCTACTAACCCTGCACGGCCTCTGCTCTTCCTACATAGATTTAACACACACCATATCCAAATTAAACACTATGTTCACAGAGCTGGTGCCAACTTCCAATAAAAACAAAACTCTCTTCCTAAAATCCACATCTTTACACGTTTGTTCTGCTCCCTTCAAATTATTACAAGGCAAAGTTGAGGGTTAACTCTGAGGTGACCATTTTTGAAGTATTGTTCACAAATGTGTCTTCTAATTTTTTAAAAATTCTTTTGCGGAGATCAGGCCCTTCCTTTTTACCTTCTTCTGATCTAGTTCCAATGACTGGCTTTTACAATCCCTTATCCTCACACTTGAGAGATGATATGGAACTGAACTAAGGCCCAAGAAAGATTGATGATTAGGACTTTGAAGAAGAGATACTCATTCTAAGCACCAAGTTTGGCAAGGAAATCAGCCAGGTTCTTTGGCCTTGCCGCCCATTTCTTCCCAGCCTCTGCCTGAAGTTGTCATTTAAAAAGAGGGAGGAAGTAAATATATTTAACAGTATCACGAACAATGGGTTTTCCCATCGGGTTCCATGCTCCTACTCAATTCATTTCCCAGTTTTATGTCATCCTTTAAATGTACTGGAATACTGATAATGACCTAAAGGCAGAGAATAGTTCTCCTTATGCTGCCAGTGAGAAACTGTTCTGATGCCTAGTCACCCATTTCTGAACTTGAATTGTCCAGTTAGAAACAGCAAACTGGCAATCCCTACCAGGAAATCTATGCTAGAATAGCAGCATGAGCAACCCACATAGCACAAATTCAAATGGCATGCATTCACCAAAATCAAGCATATGTTTCAAAAGAAAGATCCAGCAACAATGATCTGACCAATAAGCTGACAGCAGAAATGAAAAAAAACACACATTTTATTAAAACTTGAAAAATTTGAATAAATGCTGAGTAAAGGGACCATGTATCAAGCAGCGAAATGGTGAGTAATTTTTAACCATTTGCAGTTTGGGTCTTCAACACCACTCTGTGATAACACTCTCACCTCTGTGTGAGCAGGTTGTTGGTTCAAGCTCTATTCCAGCAACTTGAATACAAAATTGAGTATAACACTAAGGGGACTGCTGCACCGACAATGGCCCCGTCTTTTGGGTAAAACGTTAAACTGATGCTTCACCTTCATTTTCGAAGTACAAGCTCCTATGGCAGTATTCAAATAGGAGTTTGGAAGTTCTGGCCAATGTTTAGCCCTTAACTAACATCACTAAATGAGATAATCTGTTTGTTAATGCACTGCTGTTTTGGGGGTGCTACTGTGCACAAATGCTTCTGTGTTTCCTACATTGCAACAGAGATTACACACTGATGCAAAGTGTTGAGGGTGGGGAGGGTGATGTCCTTTTCTCATTTAAATGTAAATCTTTCTTTTATAGTGGCAAAAAAGATTTGCAGAATTAGTAAATCTATTAGTAATAGTCCATCTATTTTATGCTTGATTTTATATAACGTTCATATATAATGTTTATATAATGTTCATTACTTAAAGCATTAAACCAAAATGTTGCTCAGTTAGCTGACAGCGAATAATATGTGGCATGTTAACAAATATCGCAAGATATTGCAAATGTTGTCGTATATAATAGCACCAGATAACTTCTAATTGTTTTATTGATATACTGTATGTTTATTTTTTCTGGATATTTAAATAAATCAGATGGTTCATGGTTATGTCATGGAGAATGTGCAGTCAATGTTTCAATTTTATTAAACTTTGAAGAGGCATCGGGTTTCAATTTCATGCCAGGAGTTATAGCAACATCTGATACCTTGCTGTCATTACCAAATATTTCATAAATATATGTACAGATTTTTCCTTCTAGCAACATAATATGGTCTCTACACATGCTTTGATTTTTCACAATCGTCCACTTGTACAAATTACACAAAGATTCTTTTGTCTTAATGAATACAATCTTCACAATGCCTACATAAAAAGTAATAGTTTCTAACAGAATCTTTACTAAGAAGTTTAGGGGCAACTTTTATTTTGTTGATGTCCTATTTATGTTTAAGAGTAAACTGCTGTGGGCCAATACCACACTGAGAGGATGCCATTGACTTATTGCTGATTGTCCACCTATTCTCATTTTGATCACAATTTAGTGGACCATAGCTCTCACAGTAAAGGGAAGGGGAGATGGCTTTTGCATGGAAACCACAAGTTTCTATTCCAGGTAATCCACCTAATGAACACAAGTACATCAGTGTTTAAGAAGTTCAAGCAAAATTGAATATAACAGAACTGTCATGAAATAGAGTTGACAGTCAGAACCTTTTTACCAGAGCTGAAATGTTTATTACTCGGAGGCATGTATTTAAGAGGAGAGGGGGAAAGTTCAAAGGAGATGTGAAGGATAAGTTTTTTATACAGCAAGTGGTAGGAATCTGGAATGTGCTGCTGGGGGTAGTGGAGGCAGTTAGGGTAGGGGCATTTAAGGGACTTTTGGATAAGCACATGAATATACAAGGAATGGAGGGATATGGACTAAGGGCGGGCAGAAGGGTTTGGTTTAATTTGACACCATGTTCAGCAAAACATTGTAGGCCAAATGGCCTGTTCCTGTGCTGTACTGTTCTATGCACTATGAAATGGTTCACCTGGTCAGGTTTCACTCCATACACTATAGACATTTGCACAAAGAAACAGCTTGGTTACAAAGAAGTCAAGTCTTTTTTTAATTATAAAAGTATACTTTATTCATAACAAAAGGTTATCTGTAAATACATTCAAAAGTTCCAAAATCAGTTCTGTATAGACTTTACAGAGAGAAAACAAAACCACTGGGATTCGTTATTTCTCTGATGTCCCAGCAGTTGCATTTTCTACTCATGCAGGAAACTATTTCCATTCCTTTTTTAAGGCAGTGAGGGGGTCTCGGATCTTGACGAACCCTCGTTGTACTTTGACAGAAAGACCTTAGCAGTGGTCTTTCCTCACTGAACAACAGCTGCCCCAAGCTTTATTGTGTCCCTCAGCACATCATCCTGGACCTTGGAGCGTGCCAGCCTGCAACATTCGGTCCAGGTCAATTCTTGACACTGGAAGATCAACATGATTTGGGCAGATCAAAGAGTGTCAGTCACTGAATCAGTGTCCTCCAGGACCAGCTGATGCCTGTCTCAGTGTGTGTCCTGGGGAACAGCCCATACAGCACAGAGTCCTGCATCACGGAGCTGCTGGAACAGTTAGGGCTGCTCATAGCTGTGGTTAACATTAAATGGCTGAAAGTGGTTCTTAGTTAACATCAAATGACTGAGGAAGACTTTTAGATAAAACAACAGTCTTCCATGGTCTGATGCTTGAATTTAGAGTAGAAGTCATTGTAATGGTAGCCTGTATAAAGGGAGTATATCCAAGGTAATGAGATTAAAACAATACAAAGGGTCTTGTGAAATACGTACAACACAGTCCTATTGAATGAGAAGCAAAAATGCAGCAGCTGCTTGCACAGAGACTGTTTGATAAGAAACATCCTTCAGAAATGCTAATAGAAAGCCCCTTTTTCAGGCTGGTCCAAAGTTTGTTTTGATCAACAGAACCACTCCATCTCTCCCCAGACCTTCTTTGCAAAGGCACATTCCAGAAGGAGACGTGTGACTGTCTCTGCTCCACTGCAGCCACTTTGAGGGCAGGATGCAGTGGTGGAGTGAGTCCAGGCGTATGTGAAGGATCTCACAGGAATTGCCCTTCTCACCATCAGCCAAACAATGTCTTGGTACTTGTTGGAATGTTCTGGTGATGAGGCATTCTGACAAATGGTTTTGACAGTCTGCTCAAGATCCAGCCTCCCCTTCTCCTGCAGGCTCTTGAGTATGCCACATTTCGACCAGTTCCTGATGAAATTGCAATCAAAAATGTATTCATTTGTAAATTTTTCCATGAGGGACAGGTGACATGAATGGTCTAACTACTTGGAGTCATCCACAGCAAACAGGCCAGCCCCATCCTTCGCAACACCAGGGACAGGTATAACCTCAGTACGGAGTGACACTTGGTGTTTTTGTACCAATAGTCTACGCACAAATTAATGCAACCATACACAAAGGTGGCCATTAGGATGTGGGTAGCATTGGATACATCCTTTTATATATTGCTGTTCCTGCAGGCACTGAAGAAGTTTGTACTCAATAGAGCTTGCAGGAAGAAATCTACCTTTTCAGTTACATGCCTAATATATATAGATATAGAAATACAGTTGGGTTTGCAAATACACATTTTCAGCTTTTGACTGAAAAGATTGTGCCTGTAAGCATAATTCCAGAGGGATGGAATGTTAGTAAGTATGCTTGATGTATGCTAATGAATGCAAAAGATGTTCTGAACTGACTGAAATGTTCTGTGAAGTTAATACCAAACTAGATACTCCCTGATGGAAAACTGAAACCTCACCTGTCGCTCAATTAAACTCCCCCATCTGTCCTTCCAAAAGCTCCGTGCAGGGCCAAAAGAATTCACCCTGTTCCTATGACAGAATTTCTTCAGCCACAGACAGTATGCGACATGGTACAATGTGCGTCAGGACTTTATCTGCTCTGGGCAATACAGGATTACCTTGATCAACACTTCTTAAAGTATAAACATTAAAACATTGTGTTTTAGTCTTTATTGGAAACAACTTTGTTATTGATGTTCTATTTTTTAGGTTATTTGTTTGGAGTGTAATTTTGCTGCCTACAATGTTATAACTATATGCGTATGTTATATTTTATCTTTTCAGAAAGAAATTCTACTTGATTCAATGTGAAGAATTTTCAGAGCTATTTTGATCAGTTCAAAATTAAATGCTTAGCAGCATGAATCTTGATCAACACAAGGAATCCAACTAGTAATTACATACTCTAAAGGAAATAACTTGTATAAGTTTT